TCTAGTCATCCCCTATTGATAATGCAGACGAAACCATCGGCTTATCGGAGCGAACCTCGTGGAGGGTAAGAGGTAGATACGTTGTTGAACCCATCAACAAACCCTCAAGTTTTGATAAACCAAGCACGAGTGGAACAAAAGAGATACCAGAAGAACCAAAGAAAGTATCCAATGTAACTTCCAAGACAACCGAAACTCAAAAGGAGAAGCCAAAATCAAGCTTCAATATTCATAAATCTAAAAAACAGATGGCTGAACAGAAACGCCAAAGAAATCAGAGATACATGAAGAATCTGAGTGAGCGAAAACGGTTTTGGCAGTCTCAAAACCCTAACTACGTTCCTTCCAAGAAAGAGTCAAACGTCAAAGAAAATGACAAGTCGAACTGAAAGGAAAGTTTTAGTCCAAGCTCCTATTATTCCAAAGCTCAGAACCGAACATCCAGTTTCGGTTCCAACACCAAAGCTCAGAACCGAACATCCAGTTTCGATTACAATACCAAATCTCAGAACCGAACATACAGTTTCGGTCACAACGTCAAGGCTAACAACCGAAAGTCAAGCTTCGGTCCTTCTTGCTACCAACAAAAGCCAAATTCAATGAAGGACATCAAAGGAAAGGGAAAGCTTGATTCGAATTCTGATATCAACAATAAGAAAAAGTCAGCTAACCCTAGGATTCAAAAGTATATTCCAAAACCATCTAACAACACACCATCTGATACACCACAATTTAAACAAGATAAAAACAAAATCAAGGTGTATACCATCAAAAGAAAAGACAATATCACTCTAATAAAAAGAACTTATTTGGTTGATATTTCTGCTGCTATTCCTTTTTCTGTAAAAGACTCACCAGGGTCCAAGAGGTTTTGGGTTCCTAAATCTGCTTGAACTTGCAGGTTATAAGTGACGAGCAGTTCGATGATGAATGGTACATAGACAGTGGCTGCTCGCGTCACATGACAGGAAGGAGGGAAGAGCTGAGGGAGTTTCGGTCCCTTAAAGATGGTGGATGTGTGAAGTATGGAAATAATTCTTTTGGCACAATCAAAGGATATGGAATGATAACCAACGGAGACTTCACGATTCGAAAAGTGGCTTATGTGGAAGGGTTGCAGCACAACCTCATCAGTGTATCTCAATTAGTTGTGGGAACCGGTTTGAAAGTTTCATTCGATGATGAGGGATCAGAAATAATTGAGAAGCAATCCAAAAGAGTTCTGTTGAAGTCTGAACGCAAGGGAGAGATGTATCCTTTAAATCTCAACCCAATTCGAGGAAAACCAGCAATATGCCTGCTGTCAAAGGCGAATTCTGATGAAAGCTGGTTATGGCATCGACGCCTATTGCACCTAAACTTCAAAGACATTAATAAGTTGGTGCTCGGTGATCATGTTCGAAGCCTTCCTCTTCTCAAGTATGATAAGGAACACCTGTGTGCAGCGTGTGAGATGGGCAAACAAAGCAGAAAGAGCCATCCTACACGTATCAATACAAAGATTGTTGAAGCTCTTGAACTTTTGCATATTGACTTATGTGGACCTTCGGCTATCGAAAGCATCGGTGGTAGTAAGTTCATTCTTGTCATAGTAGATGATTTTTCACTCTTCACCTGGGTTTTCTTTCTTAAACAGAAATCAGATGCGACTCCCAAGTTGAAGGCGTTTATCAAGCAAGTGGAACTGCAGCTGCGAAAGCTAGTGAGGAATATTAGAAGCGACAATGGGCTTGAATTCAAGAATAAAGATTTTGAGGATTTTCTGGCTGAAAAGGGGATATCTCACAACTTCTCGGCCCCTATACACCACAACAGAATGGAATTGTTAAAAGACGAAACCGTTCCTTGTGTGAGGCAGCCCGAACCATGCTAAGCTTCGCTTCTCTTCCGCTATACTTCTGGGCCGATGCAGTTGCAACCGAGTGCTATACTCAGAACCGATCCTTACTTAACAAACGATTCTCCATCACTCCGTATGAGATTCTGAACAATAGGAAGCCCAACGTTAAGTTTTTCCACGTGTTCGGTTCAAGATGCTTCATTTTCAACTCCAAAGAGAACCGAAACAAGTTCGATGTTAAAGCCGATGAAGGAATTTTTCTTGGTTATTCACTTACTTCAAAGGCATATAGGGTTTTGAATAAACGTTCCAAACGTATTGAAGAAACCTACTATGTAACCTTTGATGAGAACTACATGAAGAAAGTTCAAAGAAGCGAAAGTACCTTGGGGGAATATTTCCTGAATCAGGACAAGTCTCTGTTCCCATTTCCAACTTGTTTGAAGAGTACATAAGGCTATTTGATGAACCAGAAAAGGCTGTATACTCAGAAGCGAAAGCAACAGACAACAAAATTGACAATCTGAAAAAGATCATTGATGAAGCTGCAAAAGAAATAGAAAATGAACCTCCTAAACCGACTTGTGGTCAACCCTCAACTGACCCTCCAAACAACAGCTTAACGTTCAAGGGGGAGGGTTCATCTGTACCAAAAACAACCCATGATAGTCCAATTGAGGGGGAGAATCCAACTCCATCCCCAACCCATAATAGTCCAATTGAGGGGGAGAATCCAACTCCATCCCCAACCCATAATAGTTCAACCGAGGGGGAGAATCCTGAACCTGACATGGGATACGCTTCGCCATTTGAGGGGGAGAATGAGAATACAAATGACGAAGGTGATCAATCAGAATTTGAAGAAGAGGTAAATGCAGAGTTGGATCCTGCCTATGACCCTAATTACCCTCCTCTAACGAAATGGACTAAGGATCATCCCAAAGCACAAATTATTGGTGAATCATCTGAGCGAGTTCTCACACGTTCTCAATTGAAAGCGAAACAAACTGCATTATTCTCTCATGTTGAATTCTGTATGTTTAATTCGTTTGTCTCCAAAATCGAACCGAAGATAGTTAATGCTGCACTTGATCACGCTGATTGGGTACAAGCTATGCAAGATGATCTCCATGAGTTTGAACGTAATCGAGTTTGGAGGCTGATTCCCACTCCAAAGGATGCTTCAGTGGTCGGCTTAAAATGGGTCTTCAGGAATAAGTTGGATAAAGAGGGCAACGTCATACACAATAAGGCTCGTTGGTGGTGAAGGGATATTGCCAAGAAGAAGGGATAGACTATGAGGAAACCTTCGCTCCTGTAGCAAGGTTGGAATCAATTAGAATCTTTCTGGCATATGCTGCACATAAAAACTTCGAAGTTTTCCAAATAGATGTGAAATGTGCTTTCTTAAATGGAGAACTAGAAGAAACGGTGTATGTTGAACAACCACCTGGGTTCGTGAACGAGAAATACCCTGATCACTGCTATGTATTGGATAAACCTGTATATGGTCTGAAGCAAGCACCGAGGGCCTGGTATGAAACATTAACTCGCTTTCTTAAAATGTCGAAATTCAAGCAAGGCTCGGTTGACCCAACCTTCTTCCGAAAGAAAGAAGGCGAACATCTAATGATAGTTCAGATTTATGTCGATGACATCATCTTCGGCTCCACGAATCCTAGCTTAACGGCTGAATTCAGGAAGTTGATGGAGACTAAATTTGAAATGAGCGCAATGGGTCCGATTAATTTTTTCCTTGGATTGAATATAAGACAGGGACTAGAAGGCATTTTTTTCAACCAGGAGGCCTACACGAAGAACTTGCTGGCGAAGTTCGGTATGACGGGAGATTCGAAGGTGAAGGTTCCGATGGCGTTTGGCACAAAGTTAACACCATCTCTGGAAAAACCTGGTGTTGACGTAACACTCTATCGTCAAATGATAGGGTCTCTTATGTATCTAACAGCTAGTAGACCAGACATTATCTTCTCTGTTTGTTATTGTGCTAGGTTTCAAGCAAATCCAAGAGAACCTCACATGGTGGCAGTAAAAAATATTTTCCGTTATCTGAAGCGAACCTCTTCTCTCGGTCTTTGGTACCCTGCTAGATCCGGATTCTTTGTTCAAGCCTTTTCTGACGCCGATTTTGGAGGATACGGTCGTGATTATTATTATTGTTGCTTTGTAACCCTAAACAGCTCTACAGTCGAAGTTCTTAATCGAGCTCTTTTGAGGTGTTAAAGCTTAATCATTCGACATCAGTTAAACCATTCCTGTGTTCTTTATTACGTTGTTTATTGCTTTTCTGCTAAGAATCAATCGATCCTACTAGAACTTTGTTCTAACAGATCCGAAACAGGATGTTACAACCATTCCCCCCCCCCCCCCCTCCCCATTTTTTTCTGACTTGTTATATCAATTATTAATTAAATAAAAAGTACGTTGCTATTTATTTCCTAAACTGAATTAACTATGTAATTTTATTTTCAATTAATAACGTTTTATATTAAATTAAATGTATATGTTTTGTAGCACGATGATCTCAACCAAAAAGCAGATTTAACTTTAAAAGGCGTGGTCGGAACAATCAATAAAGACTATTTCTCACGCCTAACACAATCACAACGAGCATTATTTGAAGCTTCACCGTTTGGAAGATTATTAGGAATGCATGTCCCCATTGGTGACCCCTTAATTGTGCATTTGATGATGTTGCATGAAGCAAGATCTCAACAAGTGTTTGAAAAGGGGAGGTTTCTTTTTGAGATACAGGGGATGCAGTTGGATTTTGGTGAAACTGAATATATTTTGACTAGTGGGTTAAGAGTTGGTCCTTATGTGGATTTACTCCATGACGAAAGAGGCCATTCAAATTTAAATGTTCATGCTCGGTTGTTCCCAGACATTACAGATGCACGCTTGCGGCTCAAAGATTTAGAAGATTACATTATGTCTCCGAATTATTTGGTACTTCAGGATGAAGATGTTGTAATGCTTATCTAGCTTGTTTTTATGTTGAAAGGACTCCACGGACGGGACGTTAAAACAGGTATTCCCCCGGCAGTATACAAGCTTGCTGATAATATAGATGATTGGAACATGTATTACATTAATTTTTTTATAAATACAATAATAATTATAATAAATATACTGAAAATTGCAGGTTTGCATGGGGTACATATTTCTTGACCTGTACTTCGGGGTTGATGCGTGAAATGTTTGAGAAAATAGAAAAATTTAGAATATTCAAGCAGGCCAATCCCGAATCGAAGAAAGTACACAAGTATACCATTGCCGGTTTTATGCTTCCGTTTAAGGTTAGTATCTAGTGTATTTAAATAGTTATCATACTTTCAGTTTTATTACTAGAATAGCATTGTACTTTCGTTTGTACTATATAATACCGTTGTAGTTTCATTTTTATACTATAATAGCATCATACTTACCTTTTTTTTTACCATAGATACAGATTTTAGAGACGTTCCCAGAGGCAACACAGTATTATATACGCATGCCGACAGAATTGCCATGGATGAGGTCGTGGATAAGAAAAACACCGTTATATTGGGTTCAATGTCCTCGAATAATCAACGTGTCTGTGGGATGATTTTTATATTATAATTATATATAATTACAAATTCCAATGTTTTTTCATGTTAAACTAACAATCTGGTTTTTGCAGCCTAATAACCATCCTATTGTTGTCGTGGCAAACGAGACGGAGCTCATGGTGCCATTTTATATTCGATATGTGAATTGGACTCTTAACCATGAAGAATCTCCCCCACGGCAACATAGTGCACCTATTGTTGCGTCGCCTCCTCGAAGAAAGAAGTACAAGTTGGAAACATCTTCAACTGAAACATCCACAAATGCTTCTACCTCGCAACAACCTGAAGTAGAAAGAACTTATATGTCAAGCGACACATCAACAAGGTCGGTAAAGAAGAAGAAGACGAGCACAAAGGCATTGGTGAAGCGTCTAATAGACGTTGTGGGTGAGTTAACTTATAAAGTAGACCGTGTATTACAGAAAAAAGATGAACCACATATAGGGTTTAGAGAGGGGGAGGACATGGTAAATGAAGAGGAGGAAGAAACATATTACCATGGTACACAGTTGCATTATGATGATTCATTTACACATGGTATGGAGGGGAAAGTTGGGCGTACACCTACGGGGAAAAATGTTGAGCCGTCACCAGACGTGGGTCAACATGACAAAAAAAAACAGTGACTCCTATTGTTAGACCGCAACGGACAAGGGGTGCTTCATGGTATCAGTGGACACTGTTCACAGTGGTACAAAACTCATACTTTAAATTTGATGTATTTATTAAATATTATGTTATTGATAATTATTTAAAATTTAAATTTTTTAGATCCAGTCCACACCAAAATTGAAGAAAATCACCCAACCAAGGAAAAAAAAGCAGCGGAGTGTACCGAAAAAGCAAATGAAGATATTATGAATGAAGAGAGTAATGATGTTTCAAATAATCTACAGTTAGACAGTCTTTATGCAAGTAGTACGTTGGGTTTTTGGAAAGAATGAAATATAATCTCTTCCAACCTCAACACTACACACATGCTGCATATACTCCCACCGGATGTGGAGTTTTGGTCAAGGTTACTTACAGTTACTAATTCTGGGTAGTTAATTTCTTCGGTAACATTCGTTAAATTTTAACTACTTTTTTAGACGATGATTTATATAAATAATTGTAACATTTTTATCTTAAAATGTACAACATATTGCAATATGGAGTGGCTTGCTCATGGAAAGACGTTCGGCGAACGCAAGGTGGACGATATACCCTCAAGAACTCAATTTACAACCCGTAAAATCATTTTTTAGGAATGTAGCAAATGGTGTTGGAGGCTATCCTAAATAGAAGGATGTGGATATGGTTAGTTTAGTTTAATAATTATATATATATATATATATATATATATATATATATATATATATATATATATATATATATATATATATATATATATATATATCAAATTTACAACTATTTAATTATTTTTGTTTGCAGGTTCTATTCCCCATAAACGTTGTTGGTGTCCATTGGTTTTTGGCAGTGCTACATTTAAATACCTGCAAAGTACACATTTATGATTTAGCACGATCTATGAATTTCTTCTCGAAGTACAAGATTGGTGGATAATTCGAAAGTTTTTGGGATAGTATTATCTCAGAGCTAGATGTGATTGAGTACTGGAACGATTTCCCCGACGGACACAGAGACATTGCAACTGTGGAGTTTGTTGAAACTATTGACGCGCCACAGTAGGAATACATCGAAGATAAAGGGGAGTGTGGAGTATTCGTTTTCATGTTTATGGATATGGTTGTTTCGGGGATACCGGTGAAGATTGATAAGCCACGTAGAGATGCGGGATTTCTCTATAGAAATAGGATGACAAATATTATTTGTGACACTATATAACTTGATTTTAGGAACTTTGTATATATTAATATGAAATACCTGTTTTTTGTAATTTTGTTTAATATAAATATGTGTTTTATTTTTCTTATTATATTTGTTTCGTGGACTGCCAAGTCACTTCTGCGGACTACCATTTCACTATAAAATGACTCAAAAATCGGTATAATTTCATCTAATCTATATCACTGCATCTACTTTGTATCTTTTACAATGGTTTCAAACCATGGACCGCTGAAGAGTATTTGCTTCTAACTCGTGCATATATTAATATCTACAAGAACAACAGTTTTTGGATGATACAATGTTTTGGCTCCTTTTAACCAATACCTTCAACACTGACGCTGAAACCACCTTAGAAAAGCATCGCAGCACACTTGATATAGCAGCAAAATGGTATGAACTGAAAATAGAAGTTGTGTTATTCAACGTTCTTTATAAGAAGATTGAAGACGCACGTGTGAATGATACTGAGGAAGACATCTTGGAGGCGGCTAAAGAAGAACACAAATCCATTAGCAACGGAGATATTTTCGACTATGAAGCCACTTGGAGTCTTTTGAAAGATCTCTCGTATTTTTAACTTGTACTGCGTTTGTATTGCTTTATTTATATGTACTATGGTTGATTTTTTTTTTTGCGTTTCTATTATGTTATTTATCCTTTATTTTTTGAAAGATAATGCCCCAACAAATATTACGATACATTCAAATAAGATGTAGGACTGGCAAACATTACATAAAACATTGCAAATAAAAGAGTCGTCTACATGAAAAAATGTTTATTTCTAATGAGATTCCAAACGTCCGTATACTCGAACTCATTTCCATCAAACTCGCAAAGGTAATTTCCGCTCACGTCTTCAAAAAAGTTCTTCATCGTCTGCATGCGAGCGTCACATTTTCTCATAATTGTAGCATCGATTGAACCATGTGACTTTTTTCTTTAAATGCATCCATTTACTAAAAATATCGGGTTTTAGCTTTTCTTTTCCTTCTCCCACCTCATGGTTGAACAAAGCTATTAGGCGGGACCATTCATCACCAACAAGGCAATGAGGGTGAGTCATTGCTGGTAGACCCTCGTAAATGGTAATCCAACATCGTGTTAGGACCAACACCTCTGTTGTCGTCCATGGACGTGTACCATTTGATGGAGCTGCTGCATTTGACGGATTTGTTGCATTCGAAGAACTTGGTACATTGGACGTCATTTTGTGAAATGTGAATAAAAGATGTGAATTTCATATAGATACAAGTTTTATTATTTAAAAGATAGGTTATGCGGACTGAAAATATAGGTTACGCGGATTGCCAAGTCAGTTATGCAGACTGCCAAGTCAGTTATGCGGACTGCCAAGTCAGTTACGCGGACTGCCAAGTCAGTTACGCAGATCACGACGAATATTAGTTTGTATTCAGTTCTATGTTAACCTTAGTTTTGGGCCGTCGACATTGTTTAGTTTTTAATAAATAATGTTTACCTTTTAATTAATAATGTTTACCTTTTAATAAATAATTGTAATGTATGGATGACAACGAACTGACAAACAGCTCTGCGGACTGACAAACAGCTCTCTGCGGAGTTGAAGGGTCTATATATTGTCATAGATGATCGTTGAATTTTTTTTAAAGAGTTACAAATTATTTTGAATTTTAATATGAGTTCATCTTCAAATTTCTATATTTGCTCGTGCAATGAACTTGATTGTTACTATTGTGATTTGATAGACCATTTTCTTGCACCGTCACCAAACATGAGTGGGCCATATATGTCTGATGATACTTTGCAACAATTGCAATGGGTTGAAGAACAAAAAAAAATATAAAGAGTCATCTCGGGCTCTCACTGAACATCGTGACCTCATTGCGGCAGAGTGCAAAGAGGTTGAGGAAAGGATGCAGATTAATAAAAAAATGAAAGAGCATGAAGAATGGATAAAAAAGACTAAGAAGACTATCAAAATGACTGAAAAATGGCTTGCTGAGAAGGATGCAGAAAATGATAGATCTTGGGCGGCAAAAGGATCGTTTTGAAGATAAAATAAGAATTAGGGACGACTATATAAAAATGGAGAAAGATAAGTATCTATTGCAATTCCTTTAAGTTAGTTACTGTTGTTGTATGTTTATTATGTGTTTTTGGTTTGTTATATGTATTATCTTCGAGTTTAAGTTATTTTATGAAATTAACTCTACAAGTAATGATGCACTAATATAATCATAAAATAACCCATAATCTTTAAAGTAACCACACCATTTCAAAGTACACAATCAACGTCTTCCAAAACATAACATACTTAATTATAAATACAACATCAATCATTCAAATCAAACGTTGAACAATAGTCTTCTCTTTGAGTCCCTTGATTCCAGTGCGTCTCTTGCGTCCCGTGTGTCTCAAGCGTCTCGAGAGTCCCTTGCGTCCCTTGCGTCCTTTTCCATTTTGTCTTACTACCTGATCTCGCGCTACTTTTTCTAGGATTCTTTTACTTTATTGGGACCAATGCCAAACAATTCGCTGCATTATGTGTTGTACTATCACATTTACTACACCTTCTTACTATAGGTTCCTCACCTTGTGACGGAATACGATTTTTGTTTTTCGGTCTACCAGCTTGACATGTATCTATTATTGTGGGTTTAGCAAACATCATCTCAACAGGAATCTCCCAATCACACGGTTCTGGAAGGGGGTAAACCGCCTCCTCATACGTATTTCGGTACGTTTCCATTTTGTAAGTGTCTATAGCCAGATGTCCAAAGTTAGTTTTTTTCAAGTGCTTTAGGACCATTATGACATGACCACAAGGCAAAGCAGTTCCTTCCCAATATTTGTATGTACAAGTCTCTTGCCTCAGATCAACTATGTCACCATGTTTGAAATCATGCACTTGATATATTGCATCTGAAACACCTGGAATGGGCCATCCTGTCGTACGCTCTTCATTTTTGCTAACTACTTTTTCAGACCACTCCGTTAGCATTGTTGAACATTTCCCTGTAAAGAATATATATATAATCAACTAATTATTCGACATATTTAAAGTCCAAATTAAAGTCATACCTCCATCGATGCGATACTTGTTACACCATTCCTGTGAAAGACGACGAGAGAACTCAAGAAGGGGTATTATAGGCATCTTCCTTGTATCTACAGATAAAGCATTCATAGACTCTGCACTGTTGGAGGTCATGTAATCGTACTGTTTCGACGAGGAATATGCTCTAGTCCATTTAGCACGTGTAATTTCACTTAGGTACGCCGCTACTTGCGGCCTAGTCGAACTAAATCTATACCACAAATCTTCAAATACATTTCTTTTGTAAGCTCTCACAATCCTCCAAAACAAGACTTTTGTTTTATCATTTTTCCCAAACCGATGTACTATGTTTCCTAGTAGATGAAAAGCACACACCCCATGATGAGCGTTTGGGAAAACATTTTCAATACTAACCCGAATTGCATCAGCCCTATCAGTTACAAAGGTCAAATTTGGACAATCACCAATGCATTCATACAGCTTTTCAAGAAACCATGTCCAAGTAAGACCACTCTCTTTTTTGCATATTCCGTGCGCAACGGGCACTATCTGGTTGTTCCCATCCATAACTACTGCATGCAATATGGTTCCCATAAATTCCCCCTTCAAATGGGCATCATCTATAATTATTACTTTACGAAAAAAACGTTTGAACGCTCGTATCTGTAATATATTTGTATGGAACACATAAACACTCTACATTTTTTTTACAAATTAGTATATATTAAATAACAACAAGTTTTTTGTATTTACCGTGCTCCCAATGGCATAAAAACAACACTCGAAACAATCTTCAGAATCTGTTTGTATATAGGCCACTATATCGAGATTATGCTTCTTCAAATTGTGAAAATAAATAGGAAGTTTGGAAAAAAATTCTTCAGAGGATCCCAACAACAGTTCCATAGCATATTGTTTTGCACGCCAAGCTTGTTTGTAACTTACATTGATTTCTAGCAAAGCATTCAAATCCATTGATATTTCATTAGGCATCCAAACCTTCGAACAATTTTTCCCATAATCTCATGCAATATAGTACCCATGACTTTTTTTATTTGCGTGCTTATGATTTGGGTGTATCAGTAACGACGAACATGTGTGAACGTTGTTCAAAGTCCTGGTTTCAAATTCATCGGTCGGATTAACATGTTTTGCATATAAACGCCAACTACAGTTCTCAATTTCACAATATACCTCATAGCGGTTTTTGTTAGAATGTTTGGTCTTAAACTGAAACTTTTCTCTGGTTACTTTAAGACTCAAAGCAAATATTAGTTGTTGTTTGTTATCATACGTTTGACGAACAAACATATCATCATTTGGACCTAAATTGTGAAATGGTCCAGGTTCAACAATAGGATCAGGACAATCAAGTATGGGAAGCATACCCTAAAAGATGTCTGAAGCTTTTTTTTCCGTGTGTGAACTCATCTTCTGACCAACCTTCATTTGATTCTTCATCGTCTGACCAAGTTTTGTCATGCAGTTTTCCAAACTCATTTAAATTTTCGTCTTCCACTGTATTCACTACCACAGTTTCTTCTTGTGGACACTCTTCAACATTATCAGATACAATGTTCTCAACTTTGCATGGTACAATCTTGTCAATCGCTTCTGTCTGTTTGACCCATCCCTCAAACACCTCCAAATACAAATGCAGAATCTCCTTTATTTTCAGACATTACATTTCTGAGTTGTTGAACATCTGCTTCGTCTACAATATTCATAACATACCCATGAACCGGGTGTTGAAATGACAATGATATATTACTATTGAACGTATTAGCCTTATATTTTACTAAATCAAACAATATTCGACGGTCAAAATTAGGCAGAAGCAGTAAACCTAAGTTGTTAAACTTTGGTCTAACGTAGGTGTTAATTACATTACTCAACTGCGAAAAACCCCCCGTACATAAATAACAAAACTCATATTTTCTTTGAAAACATTTTCACCCCTACAACTGATGGATTTTTGAAAATAGATAAAAAAAAAGACAAAATCCTTTA